AGACTGAATGATGTCCGGACGTCCAATACTGAATGGCGTCCGGATGCCAGAAACTGAACGACGTCCAAAACTGACTGACGTCCGGATGTCGGAAACCGAATGACGTCGGGACGTCAGAAACTGAATGATGTCCAGACGTCCAAAAATGAATGGCGTCCGGACGTCGGAAACTGACTGACGTCCGGACGTCCAAAACTGAATGAACTTTTCAAATCCAAATTTTGCTTAAGTGCAAATGATTCAAAAGCAATAACCAGAGTTTGGCAAAATTACCCGGACAAGAAACTTGTTTGAATATTATTCGTCAACCATTCCATAAAACTCCTATAGGCCATTTCTAGAAACTCTAAATTATCCTCAAAAAAAAAGTAGTCACACTTTTCTAGCCGTAATAATATTTTTTTCTTGATATTCTTAATATTGTTTCTTCTCGAGTTTTCAGAAACCAAAAAAGCGCTGAAAGGGGGGAAATGAGGCTCCTTGCCAGGATGAATTTTACCCGATGCTTTGTGATTTGGAAGAAAAGCCGGCCAACGGGTTTCTTTCAGTAATTTCCCAAATGGTTAAGGATAGAATAAATTCCGATTACGGAGGAAATTATATGGTAAAGTTGACTGGCTGCAAGGCTACAACGAAGAACTCTTGTCCGGGTCATTTTGCCCGATCCTGTATTATTTCAATTGCTCAACATTGCTCTAGACAAACCTTGGCATGGGAAATTGACAGGCCATGCGTCTTCATTGTAGTAGCCAAGAACGAATGCCCATGTCGACGTTTTCACCTGAAAAGTGATAATATACAGAGAGGAAATGTTTGTAGTGATTCGGTCTGTAAAGCTGTAGGCTCTAAGCTGTTTATAGGTTCGGTTGTAAAGATGTAAGCTGTAAGCTGTTTATAGGATTCGGTTGTAAAGATGTAAGCTGTAAGCTGTTTATAGGATTCGGTTGTAAAGCTGTAAGCTGTAAGCTGTTTATAGGATTGGGTTGTAAAGCTGTAAGCTGTTTATAGGACTCGGTTGTAAAGCTGTAAGCTGTAAGCTATTTATAGGATTTGGTTGTAAAGCTGTAAGCTGTAAGCTGTAAGCTATAAGCTGTTTATAGCATTCGGTTGTAAAGCTGTAAGCTGTAAGCTGTTTATAGGATTCGGTTGTAAAGCTGTATCATTTTGCTGCAATTTACACTTGAAAACTGACCGCAGATCTGGCAATTCCCTCTCTACAAGCGGCACATTGAACGCAATGTCGGAGAAAAGCTGAAATGACGCTTTTGCTTTAAAACTCAATAATCTTTACTCATTTACCAATTCTAAATCAAATAAATCAAATTACATCCGTAACTCAAACCTGATCGTACTGCTCGATCCAAAAATAGTGATCGTTTGGATCACTGTGATTTTGAGCGTAAAAATTGTAAATATCCTAAAAGCCTTTGTCAGAACTTTGAAAAACTTGACCAACCAAAGCGGCTTCAATTCGACTTTGATTAAAGGTTGATCGTGTCACCCAATACGTGATGAATTGCAGAAAAGTATCCAGATGTCATCGAATTGTACTGATCCGGTGTCATTGATGGAGGCCAAGGTTCTTCCAGCACTGAAAATTGTCTGATAGGCTTAGAAGTTAGAAAGTTTAGAAGTTAGAAAACTTAGAAATTAGAAAGCTTAGAAGTTAAAAAGCTTAGAAATTAGAAAGCTTAGAAGTTAGAAAGCTTAGAAATTAGAAAGCTTAGAAGTTGGGAAGCTTAGAAATTAGAAAGCTTAAATTAGAAAGCTTGGGAAATTAGAAAGCTTAGAAGGGGAAAGCTTAAAAATTAGAAAGCTTGGAAGTTAGAAAGCTTAGAAGTTAGAAAGCTTAGAAGTTAGAAAGTTTAAAACTTCTAGAAATCGAGAATTTCTAGTTTTCAATTGAAATTGTTTTCAATTGAAATTAGATAAATTTATTACGAAACTCACAAAAAGCTCGCCCTTCTTTTTGCATGAGTCCAAGGATTGTGGGCTTTATGGGTAGAGTTTGATAGCTTGTTCAGGCTAAACAAAAGGAAAGTGCAATCAAATCATTAACATTAATGTTCTTGAGCTTTTTCTTTACACAAATTACTTGTTCCGTGAAGAAATCCCCATCGACGAGTGGAGTAAGTGCAAGAAAACTCATATCGTCTCCAATCACACAAGCTCCAACAGCCGTGTGCAGTTCGTTGAGGGTTTTTCCTTTCAGGCAGCTTAAAATTGAATAGCATTACGGTCTACTACAGGTTGATTGGGTTGATTGGGTTGATTGGGTTGATTCTGGCAATATTTTGCCAATTAAAAGACTTGATCTTTGCCTTAAATCTTTGCCAAAGCTTTAAATTTGACACAAACTTGGCAATTTGACACAAAAAGCTAAGTAAATGGAACAAAAGTTCTAAAGAGTGTCATATTGTTTTTATAAAACTAGAGTATGAAATCATTAACATTAAAAGGTTCCTTCTGGATTTCTTTGGTCGTCTTGATTTGAGTTCTGGAAAAGGATGAGGGTAGGTAAAATCTTGATCAGGCTAAGCCAACATATTAGCCAGTCTATTAAGTACCATACTGTTAAACCATTAATCTGACAATACCGATGGGGTAATCTGGTGACTTTAGCTATGACTTTCTTTAATAGTATTTGACGCGCCACACTTTTAAGCCTAAATAGTACCGGTAATGAGTAATTTACGAGTTCAAAGTGACACAAAAATTCTGGAGCCACTTTGTTTTCGATCAAATTCAGCTTTTAAGATAACAAAAACCATCCAACGCTGAATATTCTTATAAAAGAGTTTGCAATTATAGCAAGTTTGCAATAAAGTTAAGGCTTCCGAAGGTACATTCTCTGAAATTCTCTAATTAAACGTAGTCACTCAAAGCAACCCTATTTTTAAACGCTTTCTAGACGAATAGCAAATTCTCTCGTTGATTTGAAGCTGAAACGCAAAAAATTATAGCTCTAAAAAGCTGAGCGAGTCGTAATCGGATTTCAAATTTTAACTTTTGTTTACGGAAAATAGGTCGGTATACTCGGTATGAGAAAATTCTGTTTTTGCGGAAAACTCTCTAGATTTCATCTAGATTTCGAATTTCTAAACCGTTTTTCAAAGAATTTTCTGTTGGACCTAAAAACGGCTTCGACGGGGCTCCGACGGGGCTCCGAACTTTTGTGTCAGCCTGTATAGTTAGCTAACAATAAAGTTAACTTCCTCTAGAGTAAGGGAGATCAAGTGGGTTTTGGTGTAAAGGTTAGCACAATTGCCCAGTAAGCGAAAGATCGCGGGTTCAAGCCCGGGTGGTGCACGAGTTTTGGATCTGCCCTAGTTTGGATCTGCCTCTAAAGATTGGTTTGCGACCTGAAAAAATGGCTTTGCAACACCCATGACTACTAAATTTCCTAATAGAGCTAATGGCCTCATCGATGAATTTTAAAGTTTGCGATTTAGAATGAAACGATCATTCGACACCTCCGTAAAGATGGCTCGTCGACAACTCCATAAGCATGGCTCGTAAACAACTCCATAAACATGGCTGGCAATATAGAATCAGAATGAATGATTTTGTGTACGTTCTACCGTATGCTTTTTGTTGGCGCGTTCGAAAACGCGCCCCTTTCGTGTATTTAATAAGACTTCTTGCAATAAATTTCAGTTTGATCTATTCGTTTAGCAGGCGTATGCCGATAAACCTAACCTTACGAGAATGTGCACAAAATGGTATTTTATGGGTGTTAGAAAGCGCAATTGAATGGACTTTTTGAAAAGTGGAATCACAAAATTGTTTCTTATTTCTTATTAACTGTACCTTTTAATATCTCCGCTCGTCGGGCAACCGAGCTTGTTGAGAGTGTCGGTGCTGAATTGGAGCATTGTCGGGTTGCCTCTTCCCCAATCAGAAATCGGTGAGCCACTTTGCTCAAAACTTTGCGCGAAAAGGCCTTAAAGGAAAGCTCTTACAGTTCTAGACAAGGAAACAGTTCTAGACTTGAATAACAACGATTAAGGACTTAAAGAAACCTTGTGAATGTGGGGATAACGAGTGCAGTCCGCTTGAAGCACCGCCGGCTGATTGACCCCAAACGGTTACCCTTTTCGAGTCACCTGAGAATCTCTGTTGGACTAATTTAATCGATAAATTTGCCTCCAAATCGTCCAATATTCTCCTGAATCCATTTCAGCGCCAAATTCTGGTCCCACAGTCCCAAATTAGCGGGCAGAGCGGTGTTGTTGAGAGTGAGGAAGCCTAAGCGAGATGATTAAAAAGATCGAGATGATTAAAGACCTATTCACACTAATATTCTGGCTCAAACAATACACAAGTACACGCCTAAGCCATAAATTTAGGGGAAGAAAAATAGAGGAAAAAGGAAAGTCATAGAGGAAAAACTCATATATCCAATAATCTAGTCAGCCGGATTGAACCCTTGACCTTTCAAGTCAGATACAGGGCTCTTAGCCAGTCGGCCAGGGCGGCACTGCCGACGGCCAGGAGAAGAATGCATTATGACCACTCACCAAAGAAACCGACTCGATACGCAATACTCACAACGACAATCCCGTTTTGGCCGTAGATCTAAAAATGATGTATTGACCAATGATTGACCAATGATGTATTGACCAAAAAGGATCGATCGACCATCCTCCCATGTGGTCTAGTGGTTAGGATTCGTGGCTTTCACCCACGCGGCCCGGGTTCGATTCCCGGCATGGGAAGGGAATTTTTACTTTTTACTTTTTGCTTTCTTTTCTCTTTTTAGATAAATAAAATAGTTCTGAATCTTCTGATTAATCACAAATCAGCAGGATTTCTAATGGTGAGCAATGCGGCCCGGATCTCATCAGATCAGATAGCTAAAGTTAAAAGAGTTTGAAAAAAGTTGTATCGATTTCTTAACTCCAATTCAAATCGGTTTAACAATTTTAAAACAATGATACTTTATTTTGAGAGAAAAATCTTCAATAAAGAACCTCTCTAATCCTTTTGTTCTCCATTTGTGCCGTCCCTGTGCCCCACCCGCCTCCATGAATCCAGACAGCTACTGGCAAATTGGAGTTCTGAAAGAGGCGTTTCGATTGATGAATCACTTAACAAGTAGACATGTGCCATTGGGTCGCCGAATGCATTAGCATTGCAATAGCAAACGACTTTTGTTTTCGAAAACGTGGATACAGATCGTCCTGTCAGCATTACCGAGATGTTCATTTTGTCGTATCCACGGTTCAGAACATACAATGTGATTCTAAGCTTTAGAAAACAAAAGCCGTTCGCTAAAATGCATTTGGCGACCCGATGGCACTACTACTATTAGATCAGTCAACAAGTAATGAGCCTCTCCTTTATTTACAATTTTGTAAAAGCGAAACCATGGCTCTTGCTGATATTTTAGTATGATATTTATGAAAGTTTTGACCATAATTGAGCATAATTTGATCTAAATCTGATGGTTATTAAAGAAATTAACGTTATTGTACAAAATTTGAACTTAATCTGATGGCTGGACTTCGAGAAATAGCTTTTTCAAAAGCTTTAGTTGAAATTGTCTTTTTTTTGAGAAATTGTTTTTGAGTTTTTGAGATAAAAAGAAGCATTTTTCGATAATAAGTTAAAAAATCAGATTTACATTAAACTTTCTCAGACAAGAGACAAAAGTTCATTCTAATTCCTCCGATAATTTTGATATTTCATTGTTTATTTTGAGAGAAATAAGAAATAAAACTTTATTTTAAAGATTTTGAAAAAATCAATACCAAGTTATTACTCTTTTAAAGTTTCCTCAAGGCCCAACCATCAGATCTAGATAAAATTATGCTCAATTATGGTCAAAACTTTCATAAATATCATACTAAGATATCAGAAAGAGCTATGGTTTTTGGGTTTTAACTTATAATCGAAAAATGCTTCTTTCTATCACAATTTCCAAAAACCAAAAGATAATTTCGACTAAAGATTTAGAAAAAGCTCTTTCTCAAAGTCCAGCCATCAGATCAAGTTCAATCTTTGTACAATAATGCTAATTTCTTTAATTACCATCAGATCTAGATAAAATTATGCTCAATTATGGTCAAAACTTTCATAAATATCATACTAAGATATCAGAAAGAGCTATGGTTTAGCTTTTGCAAAATATAAATTTTGGCTGTAAATTAGGAGAGGCTCGTTGCTTATTGATTGGCCTAATAAAACAGATTTTAAACTATCTAAACTATCTATTTAAAATAGGAAATCTAGAAATTCTTATTAAATTGGGTTTTTTGAATTTTACAACGAACGTTCAAAGATGGTGTCCAAATGTTGAGATAGAGACAATCTTCAGACGATGGACCCTCAGCCCTGAAGTGAATGTGATTAGAGGAAGATCTAGATGATAAACCAGTCCAAATTGCATGGGACACAATCAAGGGCATACGTAGAGACATTCAGTGGGGTTGTCCAAGGCGTTGGTGGCTTAGGTCTCTGAAAAAAAGGCATTATATTTCCTAGATTGTAGATTTTCTACATTCTAGATTTTCTACATTTTTGAATAGCAGTGATCAAGCTTTGAAATTTAGTACTAAACTTCAGGACTGAACTTCAGGACTGGACTTCAGTGCTGAGCTTCAGGACTGAACTTCAGTACTGAACCTTCCCATTTACCAAGTTTTTAGAATCAATATTCTACCTCAAATCGTAAATTCCCGAGTGGCGGTGCGGCGAAGGGGACTCCGATAAATTCAGAGACGACAACTCCACTCGGCGTTGGATACGATGCCCCAATGACAGCCCCATATTTTGTTATTACTAACGGGTTTTGAGCAAGCACCGAAGAAAAGAAAAAAGCGAATACGGAAAAATAGAGCCGTATCAACATATTTTGCTCTTTCTCGGACTTTACCGCGTACTTTTCAGCCAGAAATCAATGGCTATTTATTTGGCTATTTCAAAGATCTGATAAGGCTCAAAAAGAAACGAATTACCGACACAAAGCTCATCAAAATTAAAAAGAAAAACTGAATGACTTGATAAGATGAACTCTAATAAGAGAATGATTCACGAAAAAATGACAAATTTGCAGATTTAAAGCTGATAGTGGACCAACGATGGATAGCGGTGATTCGCTTGGCATCAAAAGAGGCTATAGAAATTTTAATTCTGCCTGAAACACGTCATTTTCAGGAAAAAACTTGAATATGGTGATTTATTTGAGCTCAAGTGCTGATTTGTTTCAAAGAGTCTAGTTGAATTCCAAAAAATGCTTTAGATCGTTTGGATTTTGGTGACATTCTCCTCTTTGCACATCCAATCGGCAGTTTAAAGCTGCTGACACTTTTTACCATCCCGAAAATAACCGTACTTTTTTGCGTCGCATGGCTAAAATGCATTAGGATATTGAATCGAACGTATATTGAAAGTTTTACTTCACAGAGCAATTCTTTTCTTACCGGGAGACAACCTTTGAGTTCCAGGAGAATCCTCCTAACATTTCGATCCAGGAGAATCTTCCCAACACTTCCAGGAGAATCCCCCAACATTTCGATCCAGGAGAATCTTCCCAACACTTCGATCCAGGAGAATCCCCCAACATTTCGATCCAGGAGAATCTTCACATTTCGATCCAAGAGAATCTTCTCAACATTTCGATTCAGGAGAATCTTCCCAACCTTTCGATCCAGGAGAATCTTCCCTACCATTCGATCCAGGAGAATCTTCCCAACACTTCAATCCAGGAGAATCTTCCCAACATCTCGATCCAGAAGAATCTTCCCAACATTTCCATTCATGTCGATCATCTTCACAGTGACAAGTTATATCCGGAGTTGTCTCAAAACTCTCAAACTCTTTTCCATCCTGAAAAATCCAAACATTTCCCTCTTTGGTAAATCAAAACATGCTACAAAAAGAATGGTTACGAAAATTTTTACTTTCGGGTTGTTGAAGTTGAAAATGATACACTTTTTCAATCAAAAATCTCAAAATGTAAACAACTCGGACTTCATCGCAGAAGAAGTTTATGCTCTTGGTTTTCTGGGATCTGGAAGGAGTGAAGCTGAAGGTTATCGCTTTGTTGGATGCCTTAAATAAAGACCCTTCACGTGAATTGACAGAGAAGCTTGGAGTTTTTCATAAGGCGATGACCAATCATCTCCATGCTCTTGGCTATTATTCAAAATTAGGGCCTTGGGCTCCCCATACCGAGGCCGAGAGATTGAACCGAATTTCTATCAGTGCAGCTCATCTCTCCAGATATGAGCTCCAGATAGTGCAGCTCATCTCTCCAGATATGAGCGATATTCTTTTTGCCACATATGTCACAGGCGATGAAAAATCGGTACTTGTTGTGAAATTTTGGAGGAAACGTCAATTGGTGGTTGGGGTTGGTTGGGAGCAACACCCGACCCGACCCTAAGCCCAATTTGGAACAACTTCCCGAATAGGACCTCTACGAACATCAGATTCGCACAATAAACGCTTTGCTGTTTTAAATGCGCCTAGTCATTGTGTTAACGAATGATTCGTTAGCGGCTGAATTTCGTAAACGACTACGACATATCGATTTTTAGGACTAAGCTAAAAACCAAAAAAAAAATCGACTTTTCTCAATCGAATCACATCATCTATCTCCTTTTTAACTTTTGAAGCATCCTGGCAATGCCTTCTTTATTCTGCCTTCGGCCTTCTTTACCTGCCATGCCACCCTGGCATGGTTTATTTTAATCTGGCATTGTTAATTTGATATTTTAAACCCTCAGCCTGAGGTTTTAAAATCAAAATTAGTAGTCCTTTCATTTTTTGATCAATTCTCGACTTTCAATCTCGTCATCCTTCTGGATTTATTTGTGCTCTTCCTAAACTATTTTCTAGGAATTTTCTTTTCAATTTTCGTCTTTTACCGACCTCAAAGCATTTTATTTAGCGACTCCAATGTACAAAAAAATTTCATTTCAAGATTCTCCATTAGAAAATATCCCCCAAAATCCAACCAAAGAAATGCACCTGTCTCTGCTCGCTTGTGATTCTCCTTTGCTCTCCAAGAGCTCATTATTTTTGAGCTATTTGGTCTCAACGTTGATATCACAGTCAAAATTCCAATGGACATCATCTTCGCTGGTGGAAATCTGCCCTTCGAGGACAAGCTCTTCATCTTTCTCCATCACATTGTCGAGATTCCCGGTCTTTTATTGAGTCTATTCGTCATCTTCATGATTCTATTCTACACACCGAAATGGCTAAAATCCTATTCGCTTCTGATCGCTAATGTAACGTTGACCGATCTGATCGCTTGTTGTGCCAATTTGTTCGTTATGCAACGGTAAGCAATGAGATGAGTTTATATCTGTTCGGGTTTGCCCAAAAATTGCGAGGCTCCGGCGGTGAAAAAAACCAACCAGCAGAAAAGTACCGTAAATGCTGTATTAGAGCGACCCTCTCAAAGAGAGCGACCCCCTTCTTCCATAAATTTTTTTATTTTTCATTTTGTGGAAGGTATTATTTTTAAAGTTCTAGTCGGATCTACTGCTTTTTTTAGTAAATTGCCACTGCTTTATTTTAGTAAATTGCCATCAATGCAAAAAATTTGATTTGTATTGTATCGAAAGCTTTTTGTGCTTTAGCTTAGGTGCATAGCTTTTTTGTTATCAAGACATACTTTAGACATAAACTTTTTTGAAAAGGAAAGCTTTCGAGTAAACGGAGAACTGCAAAAGAAAAACAGCTACCGTAAATACTGCAATAGTACCCCACTCCCCTCGTACAGTCGCGTAGTCGCAAAAGTTTTTTAGTATTTCATTTTTTGCAAAGCACCCGTACTTTCAAAAAATGCGTCTTTGGTATCAAAAAATAGCCCTGAATTTCAGCTATTTTTTGATACCTAAGCGCGCATTTTAGCATAAACCAGTGTCGAGAAAAACTCGTTCAAAGCTAGACTACGCAACACTCCGCACCGTCATTATGGGGCTGGGGTACTATTACAGTATTTACGGTGGCTTTTAGTCACGCTCTTTTAGATTGAAAAAGTACCTATGTTATTTAGTTGTTTTAATTTTTCTCATTTTAACACTTTTGCTATAATGTTTAATGTTTTTCTTTAGGTTATGGCCGAAGAGATGCGCAAGACGATCGTTGAGCCAATAGCTGAGCAAACGGTGAGCGATAGACGATAGACGATAGACGATTTGATGAATACGATAGATGATTTGATCGAATTTCGGGATCGTCGTGATTTCGAACCAGGATTGAATAAGGCACGCGATTGCTTCGATGAAGAGGCACGTGATTGCAAAATCAAAGCGGACAACATGTGAAAAGGAAAGAAAAGAAGGGCATTCGATGCGAAAAGGAAGCTGAAGATTCTTGAATAGGCCAAACCAAACGCAATCCACGCGGCTGCAAGGAAGTTTGGTCACGATCATCAATTTACAACTGGAAGAAAGAAACGAATCAACTTAGCGATCTCAATGGCAAGAAAAAACGGCTCGATGGCGGCGGAAAGCACTTGCTGGGGGCAGAAGTTGACCAATCAATTGTTGCATGGGTTCGATCTCAACGAGACGAAAAAAAATGGGTGACCCGCAGAATTCTTTTGGATAAAGTGAAGATGAAGCTTTTAAATGCAGGCGTCGATTTCAGGAAAAGCTACGGATGGCGAGAAAGTCTGGATCAAGAAATGGCCAAGCTTTTGGGAGAATTGAACAAAAACGTCGATACAAACGTTGAGGCAATCGTCGATACAAGTGATGATTTCTTGATGACTTTGATGGTTTGATGTTGATGACTCTGATGGTTTGATGTTGATGACTATGATGTTCCTCTTGATCTTCTTGGCTTGTTGTTACTTTTCATAATTGTTATTATGAAAAGAACCACGTCGGCTCATAAAAATGATCCAACGTGGTTCTTTCAAATTAGGGATTATGAAAATAGAAGAAGCCACCTTCTACACCTACCTCGGAAGAAGCATCAACATGGAGGGAGACCTAAGACCAGAAGTCGCCAGAAGAAGACGAGCGGCCTGGACAGCACTAGGAAGCATCAAAAAAAGTCCCAAAGATACTCAAGAATCACCAGAGGACTCGGGCACACCTCTTCGACAGCACCGTCCTCCCGGCACTCTGCTACCTGGGCCACGACACAGACCACCGAACGAGCCCTGAGAACGACGCATCGAGCCCTTGAAAGGAACCTCCTCGGCCAAGACCTAAGAAGTACGGATATGCGCCAGCTCTCGGGACTCAGAGATCCAGTGGAAGTGATCGAGAGAAAAAGACTCAGATGGGCCGGCCACGTGGCCAGAAGAACAGACGACAGATGGACGATACGGATCACAGTGGCTACCACGAGACCAGAAGAGGCCCATCGAAAGGCCAGCAACGAGGTGGAGCACAAGAGTGGCAGAGAAAGTCAGAGAAAGCAACCACCACCAGCACAAGCAAGTCGAAGACTTCGAACTAGGAACAACCAAGATAGGAAACTCTGGATGACAATAGCAAGGGATAGAGAAATGTGGAAGCAGGTTGTGATCGGCGCAAAATAGGAACACCTAAGTGCGAAGACAGATCAAAAAAAAAAATAGAACGACCTCCTCTAGAAGAGCGATCCTCCAAGGGGATATTGAAAAATACAGCGACAAGTCGCGCTAATACAGCATTTACGGTATTACTAGCCAACTGAAAAGCCAGACAAGTTTTACTTTCTTTAAAGCTCTTAGATTTTTGAAGCGAATCTTCTTTTTAATTTCTTCGATCTTACGAATTCGGTAGAGGCACCATTTCTCTCTTTCTTGCTCTCAAGAATTTCGCATTGTCATTAAAACGTGGAATGATCGATAGCCAGCTTAACAAAATGCAGTTTAGAATCATCCCAATCAAACTCTCGCTCTTCTACATCTCCTACGGCTATTGCACATTCTTCGGCTCACATGTCTGTTATATTGGCTACTGTTTGATGGTTTCCTCGATTTCCAATGGTCTCTACTCGCTGTGTATTGCTTTCGTCTATCGATATTATGTGCTCTTGCATTCGGTTGGAATGATTGAAAAATGAAAACACCACCAGATTCTAGGGATCCATACGAACGATTTATCTGCTGTTCATTTGCATTCTAGTCGCTTGTCCGTCCGTTTTTCACGCGGTAGGAATGCATTGTGAGAGTCGGATCTTCGGATCACCTAGAAGAAATCTTTGCCTAATTTTTTGAAATCTCTTGCAGGGAATTTGGCCAGAAAGGCTCAGGCTCTGGGTGATGTTAAGGAGAAAAAGAGAAGCTGAACAAATCCAGACAAACCAATTAAAACAAAACTTTGGAGTCTTTGTCCGAGAGCTTGACTTTAGTTATTTAGCGTCTTAAAGAGCATTTTTGTCAGCTTACTTTCAAACAAACTTTTAACCGATCAAATTTTAGTCGAATATCAAAAGAGACAGAGACAAAAGAATATCTTAGGTCAGCTTCTCCACCGTTGACGACAATCCCGAGGCTCTAAAGCCTCTATTGGCATCGATCTTCAGCTACAATCTCACAAATCTCGTCGTCTCCGGCCATCTTTCGATTCTCCGTTTCTGGACAATGTACGCTATCATTTTCGCTTGTAGCAGCACCGTTGTCGCCTATTCGATCATGTTTTTGTGTCGTCAGAGAGTGCTGAGTGCACTCACAATAATGGATATGAGTCCAAAGACGAAAAACGTTCATCGAGACCTAATGATGGTTTGTTGTTTTCGATTTTCTCTCGAAAAAGCACCTGTCCTCATTTGCTTGATGGCCTTTACGCTGAGCTTTTGAATTGACGAAAAAAAAAGCAATTATAGCTTCCCCTCTGCTCTTCCCCACCGACAGTTTGTCCTTTGCTCAATATATAAAAATTTTTATTAGAAAGCAAGTAGTTTACAGTACTGGACAATGAAATATCATATTTGAAAAACGATCGTCACTTTCGCGCGTCTGTAACTCCCTTGTCTTTGAGTTTAAACTATTAGTGTTATACATTTACTGAAAGCTCTTTTCGAGGGCTACACCATGGTAATATTAATATTTAGAAATACGGTAAAGACAAGGGAGTTACAGACGCGCGAAAGTGCCAAAGTGTTTTTTCAAATATGATATTTCATTGTCCAGTAGTGTAAGGTAAGTTAGAATCTACAACGAGGAAATCCGATCAAATACTTTACTGATAGAAATGCAAGAGTTGGATGATCGAGAGGCAGACAAAAGTCTAAAGAAAGGTGTTCAGTGATTAAGATATGAGCAAGATATGAGCAAGATTCGCTTTTTAAAAGATACAAATCGATTGTCTCTTGTGGATATTCTTCGAATTGCAGGCTTTAACCGTGCAATCGTTGCTTCCACTCGTCATTGTCGTGTGTTCGATGATGTACGGCGCTCAGCAGATGAATTTCGTCCACTCAACCACCATGGAACATTTGGTTTTACTTGTGGGCGCTTTAAGATCATAGGAAAACTCTGAATAAGTCTCAAGTGGATCAATAGGAAATCTCCTGGCCTAATAATGTCTTTGTTGAGTCAAAAGAAGCCTTTAAAGATTAGTTTTGTAGAATTTATGAATCGAAGAAAGTGCAATGTTGCTCAAGAAGCTCAAGAAGCTCAAGAAGCTCAAGAAGCTCAAGAAGCTCAAGAGGCTCAAGAAGCTCAAGAGGCTCAAGAAGCTCAAGAGGCTCAAGAAGCTCAAGAGGCTCAAGAAGCTCAAGAGGCTCAAGAAGCTCAAGAGGCTCAAGAAGCTCAAGAGGCTCAAGAAGCTCAAGAGCCTCAAGAAGCTCAAGAGGCTCAAGAAGCTCAAGAGGCTCAAGAAGCTCAAGTGGCTCAAGAAGCTCAAGTGGCTCAAGAAGCTCAAGTGGCTCAAGAAGCTCAAGATACAGATCAACTATTCTTTTTTAAGATCTAGTTTTACCTCTATGAAAGAAAAAGGTTTGATCTCTGATCTGATCTGATCTGATCTAACTATCTGGAATTTTGTTTGGATCATCAATGATGATTGATGATGATTGATGATCCAAACAGATATCCAAACAGATATCCAAACAAAATTCCAGATAGCCGCCTTCAACCCGGTGCTCAGCCCGTTGTTCAGTCTCTATTTCGTTCGACCATATCGAGATTCGATCCTCAAATGGCTCAATCGACCGAAGCTACGAAAAGCACATTTGCTAAGCATCTCAGTCGCTTATTCGATGAAATGACTTTTTTTGTTTTTCTTTTCCTTGTCAAAACTATGTTTTCTAATCAGAATCCTCCGTAAATTTTTTCAATTTCTTAGCACTATGTAAAAACGATTAAAGTATGGAATAATGTTTCCGTTAAATCAATAAACTCATTCTCAAATCGGGACTTCAAAGTCGGAAAATCCGCAGGAAAAATCGTTTTTTTCAAAACATGTCCAACAAAGCCATTTCCCATATCGTCAATTCACAAATTGCCGCTTTTCTCCGAGAGAAACGTCATTTTCGCCGATTTCTCTATCTTTCGATGGACATTTTGTGGAAAGACGAAAGTCTGTAGGTCGAAGATTTGGTGATCTTCGTTCTTCACCATGTCATGGTGAAGTTCCGTTCTTCACTATGTCTCGGTCTTTTGCTCTCTTCTTTTGCTGTTGATCGCCTGCTCGGCGGCTCAAAGTCTATTCGATGTTGGCTCAAATGGCTCAAAGTCTATTCGATGTTGATCGCCAATGCAACCATTCTCGACATGTTCACCGGACTGTGCAATTTGTTTGTCATGTTGAGGTGGATTAGAGAAAATCTTGAAATGACCAAGAATGATAAAACAGAGTTAGATTTATTTAAGACTAGCTGATTCCGGCTAGTTGAGCCCTGTTCGCGATTTTTTCTCGTTCTGTACACGCTGACTTTCTCCGTCATCTATCGATATCGATGGCGATATTATCGATATTACGTGTTTATTCATTCGGTGAGTCAATCTCATTTAATTTGGAAAGAAAAGTTTATCATTAGGGTCGAATTAAAAGAGCCACTCTTAGCTCAATTTGTTTGAGTTCACGTCGTGTTCTCGTGCCCTGTTTATTTCAAATGGTTTGTAGAGAGATGAAGAGAGAAAAATCAAAGGATTGCCTCAATCTTGGCTCAAGGAGTTCTTGCTGTTTATCTTTTAAAAACAATAAGAATCGAGGAGCTGGCATATCTGTACTCTAAAAGGTCCAAAAGGGCTAAGACGTTGACCTCAATGGCTCAATACTTTTATCGTAATTTGTCGATTTTAACGCTTCGATTTAAAAAAAATCAAAAACGTTTCAGGCGACTTTCTCCAACTTCTCGACGACGGGAAAGCGAAGATCGAACCCCTTTTCCAACACTATCTTGGCAATGATAGCGATAATTTGATGGCAATGATGGCGACAATTTTGTCATTTGTCGTTCTTTCACTTCTGGCCCCTGTACACAATCGTTTGTACATCGTTCACCACGGCTATCTCCTATTCGATTATGTTTTGGTGTCGAAAGAGGGTACTTCCCACCCTATCTGTGATAGAGATGAGCGCCAAGATCAAGCAGATTCATCAAGATCAGATGACGGTAAAGATCCAGACTATCCTAGACAAAATCCGAATATTCGTTGTAGCTTTCTTCATTTGGTTTTCCAAAAAAATCAGACAAATCACAATTCTTGTTCGTTCTTGAGGAACGAGATTCTTGAGTAGATTAATTTATTTATTAATTTCCAGGCCCTCGTGCCTATTTAGGAAAAACGGCTAGCAGATTCAGAATCAGCGGAAAATTCTGCATCGAATGGTCTAGGTCTCATTTTGATTGGCCACCTTGATTGGCCACATTTCGCGATCCTCTCTTGTCAGTTTTTTCTTTCTCAAACCTTTACAGGAGTTGGAACTAGGGCAGATCAAAAACCCGTGCTCCGCCGGGACTCAAAGTCACCACCTTTCACTTACCGGTCAATTGTGCTAACCATTACACCAAAACGAACTCGATCTCCCCTACTCTTTTAGTTTAAGGCCTTTTAGTTTAAGGTCTATAAAGTTTTGAGTTTTAAGAAGAAAAACTGACTTACTGAAGTCAGTTTTTCTGACTAAAGCTGTTAGAACAAAAGAGAAATTAGATTTTCTTCTGCAAAATCATTTTTATCCAGTTAACTCAGGCATCCAAGTTCCATAATGCAATGCCTTTCAGTCAGCCAAAAAAATGATACCATCAATTCAGTTGACGTTGCTGCTTTCCTTTCGAGTTTTCATTGCTCATTTTCGAATTGCTCTTGTGATTTCATCCAGGATGATTCGAAAGCATCCAGGATGATTTTCGTCATTTTCATTTTTCCTAGGACTTTTTGTCTAATTCATTCAGTTGATGCTGTCTAATTCATTCAGTTCATGCTGTCTAATTCATTCAGTTCATTCGGTGAAGCGAATAATTCTTTCTTTGAAAGCACGGTGAAATCCTTTCATTCAATAGCCGCCTTTTTTGCATCCACTTACATATTTTGAGTTCTATTGTGTATTTTGATGATCTTGAGTGCCAATTCTCAGCCATCGATGAGTTCTTTTATTGAAATGTGCTATGAAGGGATCATTTGTGGATGAATGAGATGATTTTTTGATGATTTCCTCACGATGATTTCCTCACGATGATTTCCTCACGATGATTCCCTCACGTAATGATCGAATCGAATCAAACATTACTCGGAAATCGTTTACTCATCTCCTCCTCTCCTCCTCTCCTCCTCTCCTCCTCTCCTCTTCTCCTCCTCTCCTCTCCTCCTCTTCTCCTCCTCTCCTCCTCCTCCTTCCTCCTCCTCTCCTCCTCCTCCTCTCCTCCTCCTCTCCTCCTCTCTACCATCTCCAAGTCCATCAGATCTCTTTCAGCAGGAAATCATAATGATTTCTCTTCAACAACTCATCGAAATCATCTAATCGTTTGAGCAAATAGATTCGTTTCTTTGAAATTTCCATACCATTCTCCCATACCATTTGTACCAGAAACATTTGATTTTAATTCTTAAATTGTTAATCATCGAACACGGAACTCTCTCTAGTTTTCCCTATTGTTTACCCATTTTTCGTGAAAAGTTGGCAGAAGTCAGCAAAAAGACCCACTCAGAACCCTCGAATTTCAATGTTTACCCACATTCAAATCAAAATTCGATACATTCAGGAACTTTTCTCATTTCGATGCTCCTTCTATGGGTATTTTTCTCTCAATTCGTCTCTTCCGCCTATCAACCAAGCCAGGAATACATCGATTTCTATGCGTCAAGTAAAAAGAAAATCTCATTTTGAGCATCTTTTCAGATTTTAGACGACTACAAATCGTTCAGCAACAAAACGACAAAATTGTATGATGAACTGTTGACGAAAAGAGCCTATAATAAATTGCTTTCACCTGTTTATATGAGAAGCGGAAATTCGACAGGTACTCGAGAATCCTTTTTAATAATTGGTCTCATTTCCAAGGAGAGTTGGATTAGTACTGGTTCAGTAGGAAAGTAGGACTGGTTCAGGCTTACAAACGTGTCCAAAGTTTGGGTGTCTACTCGGGAAATCGTGCCGGGGGTTATAAAGGCTCTTTTCCGACCCATGAAATGTAGCCAGATGGCGCAGAAGTGAAATGTAACCAGATGGCGCAGTCAGAGTCAGTCAGATGGCGCAGTTAGAGTCAGTCAGATGGCGCAGTTAGAGTCAGTCAAATGGCGCAGTCAGAGTCAGTCAGATGGCACAGTTAGAGTCAGTCAGATGGCGCAGTTAGAGTCAGTCAGATGGCGCAGTCAGAGTCAGTCAGATGGCACAGTTAGAGTCAGTCAGATGGCGCAGTTAGAGTCAGTCAGATGGCGCAGTTAGAGTCAGTCAAATGGCGCAGTCAGAGTCAGTCAGATGGCGCAGAAGTGTGCGGGTACCCGAGCTTCTTTTTGGCAGCAGGTTCGGATGTATGTCGTCGAATGTCTATGGTTATCTAGCGCCTATGGCTCATGTCATTTGGGAAGCCCATCCAGTTGAGCTTCCCTTGTGAATATGGGCTAAAACTGAATACAGCATCGGATTCTCCGTGTCCAATAGGCGTTTACATCTCAACGGCTTCAAATCCTCCTAATCCTAAGCAGTGCTATCAACTAATAACCTCCCGAATCCGAAAATTATCCTTTTCTGGCTCTTTAAAAAGTTTGTTCAATCCAGAGCGTTTTGCTCAAAATCAAAATTTTCTGGATTTCTGGCCTGGGCTTGGTTTCTAAGCTTTTCCACAATTCAGCAAAAAACCTTCAGACTAGCGCTGAAATTAAAAACCTCCAAAAGTCATTGTTTAAAAAATCTAACTATTGGGCTTTGCTGAGAGTCAATCTTCTCTTTTCTAGCCTCTTTTCTAGCTTTTCCACCACTCGAAGTCTTTTTCGAGCTCGAATATCTGAAAGTCTTTGCCCTTGTGAGTCTTTCATGCCAACTTCCAAACTCAAAGGAAATTACAGGATGCTCAAACACAATTGGTCAGTTTGTGTGTTCAGCTGAGAATGGTGGGTTCAATCTTAAAGCATCAATTTGATCAATTTGACCTCTCGATCAGTCATGGCTCGATCCGAGACTCTCTTGGGATTCACATCAATTTGGCGATATGCAGAGCCTTTATGTGAATGCCGACGTGGCCTGGGTGCCCGATAGCCAATTCGCAAATGTGTAAGTTGATTTTGAAGAAATTGGATTTGAAATCCTTTTTTCTCCAAACACAAGACAGAACTAAAAACAGAACCAAAAGACAGAACCAAAAGACAGAACTAAAAAACAGAACCTCAAGGCTTCGAAACAGAAAACACTCGATGATCTTGATTTGGATTTAATTTTGTATTTTTAATATCTTTAAAAGGTAACATAATTGTCGCAACAAGATAAAGTTCTGATTTTTAGGCAGACAAGAGCAAAAAAGATCAATCTTTAGCTGAATAACCTTTAGTGTACATTAACAATTATAAATAAACTATCAAATCCGAATCGGCCACCATTAGCATTTGAGCAGACTCGCAGGCATTTCGGGAAGGAGTCAACGGTGGCGACCAAATAGGCTGGATCCGGCTCTTCCCACGCTTTCAACAGTGATTTCTTCAAGCTTTCTATGTTTTTGTGGGGCTTTGGACAATCTTTGGCTTCGACACACTGAAAAATCCATTGATCCATGGTGAACAAGATATTGTGATGGTCGATTCCATTGAAGCGCACCAACTGATCAGCTCTCAATTTTTGCTTGTTTTTAGCGGCATCCGAAAGAAGTTGATCCTTGTTTTTTTTGTAAGCAGTAAATTTGAGCTTATTTTTGAGAATCCGACGCAATGAGGTGCTTGAAATCGGCATCTTCTTTACCATTTGCCTTGTCGACTGGTTTGGCTCCTTCCGAATTCGGTCCCTCACTCGCTTGATGTTTGTCTTTGTGACGACAGTTGGACGTTTACCGCTTCTTGGTGCATCAGCAACTGATCCCGTAGCTTTGTAGCGTTGAATAGTGCAGAAAATGACACTTCTGTTGACTTTAAGACGCTTATGAATCTCTGGCGCCGAGGCCCAGGCGAGGAATCCGATGATCAAGCGTCAATGGGAGATTTTCCAGCCATTCTAAAAAGAACGCATTTTATATGAAAAAAGTTTCAATTATATTCCAAATATAGTAAAAAACACACAAAAAAGAAACAGAAAAAAAAGAAATGAAGCTTAAATCAACAAGTTATTGTCCTTGAACGCACGTGGTACCCTGTTGCGAGAATTATGGCGCACCCTGTACTTGCGAGTTACTCGTTAATGAACAGCTTTACGAAACTTACTAAACTAAATGCTAAACTGCGTTAGGCTATCCAGTTCAATAATACTTTAATAGAGATTTTCGGTGTCTATTCTAACGTTGTAGGCACATGCATGACTTGGAAATCGAATAGGATTGTAATCCATTGTAGCTTAAGTCAACAAGTTATTGTCCTTGAACGCACGTGATACCTTGTTGCGCACCCTATCAATCCACAATTATGGCGCACCCTATAAATCCACTTTTAGAAAAACCCTAGACGATATGATTGGCGCCGAGAAAACGTTGCACATCGCGAGCAATGGCATCGTCCATATGGTAAACGTCTACTATGTGGAAATCTCCTGTGAAGTGGAGGTGAGAACTCTTCCTTTAATCCTACAATTTGTCAGATTTGAGATCAACACTTTCCCATTCGACAATCAGACATGTCAACTCTTGTTGATGTCATTCTCATATGATGGGTGAGTTGTTTGGTGGAAAAACTTTTCAAACAGAGACATCTATTGGACATTTACAGAGACATCTATTGAATGTTACTAAATTTCACTTAAACACAATTTCACTTAAACATTTCAGCTCAATCCTCAGCACAAACGGTACAATCAATCAGGATACGGTCGCCGGGCAACAAGATGATTTGGTTGGTTAAATCTTTGGCTATCAGCTCGATATCAGCTATTTTGACATTTTGTGTGAGATTTTCAAGTGATCTGCAATCTGTAATCTATAACAGTTTCTATTTACAGGGTGCGTCATAATTATTTGCAACAAGAGTTCAAAGACCGTTTTCCAAACAGGAAAACGGGCGTGTCATGGGCGTGTAAAGCCAATAACAATCAAAATTGGACCTTCATGCAAGATGGAGCTCCCGCTCACACGAAGAAGACGGTTCAGGACTGGTGTGTGGCCAACTTTCCCTCAGTGATCACCAAGGATGAATGGCCTCCAAACTCACCGGATCTCAATGTGATGGACTTTTCCATTTGGGCAATCTTAGAGGAAAACACACAAGTTTGGATCCTTTGAAGAAGTCTTTGACCAAAGGATGGAAGCCGATTCCTCAAGATGACATTCGGGCCACAGTGGAGGCATATCCGAAACGATTAAGGGCTGTTATCAAGGCAAAAGGCGGTCATATCGAATGATTTCTTGTTTCCTTATTTGTTACTGTTAAATAAAGCTATTTCTGTTTAAAAATCTTCTTCCAGTGAAACTTCTTGGTGTGCAATGCCTTGAGTATCTTGTTGCAATAATTATGACGCACCCTGTACATTGATGGGACATTGAATGAGATTATTTTAAGCTCTTCAAGACATTCAGGGCAATGGAGAATGGAAAGACGATGGATTGGACTCGAGTTCATTTCTCTTCGAGAAGCGACAAATGGTTTGTCCTAAAGATTTCGAAATCAGCCATTAAGATATTCCATTGACTCCAGAACAAAACTCATTTTTTAGTTTTCAATTCGATTTTGTCTATTAGAGCAGATTTCCCATTCGTCAAGATTTCCCATTCGCCAGATTTCAAATCTAGCTGCAAATCAATCTCCGTCTGAAGAGAGTCCCCAACTACTATATCAACGTGATCGCCTTACCTTGCTTTGTCATCACTTTTCTTTCGATCATCGGAATGTTTTGGCGACAGAACAACAAATCTGAACAATTGGCAAAAGTTTGCAATCAAGATTTTCTATCCAAGTCGAAAATTCAGCTTGGAATCGGTCTGACAAGTTTGGTCTCGATGACTGTCTTGTTGGATTTGCTCTCGAGTTCGATTCCGAAGACTGCCGTTTTTCCTTTGCTTGGTCGGTCAATCAAAAAGAGAAAGCCTTAAACTAAACTATACCCAAAACCAGTTTTAGGTATAGACCAAGTTATACCTAAAACTAATAAAGAGCTAATAGCTCATAGCTTTTTTATATGGTTGTTCCTTTGAGCCGCGCACAAATGGTCGACGGCACGCTACCAAAATTAGTCAACTTCCAATGTTTATACAGATTCTTAGCATCAAATTAAACAATCTTGACCTTGATCTTGAAGCTCTAGTGGATTCTTGACGTCATCTGTGCTACCCATATATTATTGGGTTGGTGAATTGAAAACTGCGGGCTATTGTCATATGTGACAGTTTGAGCACTTTCTTCAAAAGAAACCCATTTTGGTGTCAATAGAAATGTTGTAGAGAATCAAAAATGAAGCTTATATCCAAATTTTCAGAACGATTCAAAAACTGGTTTTCAAGAAATGCCAAATTTACGAATTTTCACAAAACTTGCATTAAGCGAAACTTTAAGCGAAAATTTAAGCGAAACTACTGAGTGTATCTTTTTGGAAATTTGGCTATAAGCCTAATTTTTGATTCTCTACAACTTTTCTATTGACACCAAAATGAGTTTCTTTTGAAGAAAGTGCTCAAACTGGGAGTCCTCCATCCTCCTCTCCAGTCCTCCATTTTTGAGTCTCCCACTTGTCTCACACACAAACCAAACTCCTACTACGAAAGAGGAATCCGCAAATTGCCTGTAAAATGGGCAGAAGTTGTCAATAATAATGGAAATTATTTGGAATGAATTGGTGGTTTTATGTTGAATAAATTTTAGTTCAAAGTCCGGCAGTTTTCAATTCACCAACCTAATATATGGTTGGTCCTTTGAGCCGCGCACAAATGGTCGACGGCACGCTACCAAAATTAGTCAACTTTCAATGTTTATACAGATTCTTAGCATCAAATTAAACAATCTTGATCTTGATCTTGAAGCTCTAGTGGATTCTTGACGTCATCCGTGAGCTTTCTCAAGTGCATGAGATTCAGTTAAAGGGTGTGCTTCTACTAGAGGCTCTAAAGCTCTAAAGCTTTAAAGTCTAAAGCTCTAAAGTCTAAAGGTAGCTCTAAAGTCTATAATTTTGTAAAGGTTGATCCGAATCCTTGAAAAACAGGAATTTACGTGGTCGGAAACCAGGAATTTACAACATTTCCAGGAATTTACGTGGTCGGCTGTGTCGGTATCATCGCCGTTGCTTGTGTCCTCATCATGGTTTCCTCGACAAAAGACCCAAAAAAAGAAAAAGAGACTGATAAGGAGAAACGAATTGAGATCGAGAAATTGCTAACAAACAGGTATTTGATCCGAAAAGAGATCTGATTGAGAAAGTTAAGCGAACGGCGATGGAAATCGATCAAAGATGCCCTCTTCCATCCAAATGTTTGCCTCCAAATCGTTCTCCATATGGCCAATTTGACCGGTTTCATCGTTTTCCTGTCTTTTTGGAAATAAAGAGAAAAAATTGTGTCTTTGTGTTGCAGTTAATTCTTTCAAACATGCAAAAAACGTTTCAATAAGCTTTTTAGCTGTATGTCGGACACTTTTGATCAGCAACTGATCAGCAACATTTGTTGGTTTTTCGACAAAAATTCAATGAGGCGGTCATTCAGATGTTGAATTGGCACTTCTAATCCCCTCAAAGTTTTCTTTTAAAAGAAACTTTGAAATGGGGTGATGTAAGAAGATTTAAAGCTGAAGAAAAACTTTAATATCAATTCAAATATCAAAAAAAAGCTTTAATATCAATTCAAATATCGGACGCTGATCGATAAAATGTGCCAAGTGGAATGAAATGAGCGAAATAGAAGGGCACTTTTACAGTTTACACTCACTCGTTGCAGAGAGGGGCCTTAAATTTGCATGTTTTTTCTACAAAATTGAAAGAAAAGTGCGAACAGATTTGAGCGTCCTGACTCCTGATTCTCTTAGCTGATTCTCCTGATTCTATTGTCCAATAATTGCTATCCAGAAAATTGAAAGAAAAGTGCGAACAGATTTGAGCGTCCTGACTCCTGATTCTCTTAGCTGATTCTCCTGATTCTATTGTCCAATAATTGCTATCCAGAAAATTGA